TGAAAAAACAAGCAAAAAGTGTGAGATCAAATTGGTGGTTAGAGGCATCCTCAAGGCTTGTTGCTTATCTCAATCGCTTCCTGGCACTCTCTAGAAGCTAAAGCAATCCAGAACCGGTCCATTCCAATCCCAGAACACGCTGTAAGTCGCTCACAACCTCGCCCTGTTCTTGAATTCGAATCTCATATTTTAGGCATTGTTAGATGGAATTGATCATACATTCTTAATCTACAGAGCATTTGTAAGCTTTTGGCATTATTCAATTTCATTTATATGGACTGAATCGAAATTCACCATTGTTAGGTTTTCGAGTTTGGTTTTAGGGTTTTTGTTTTCAGGTACAATTAGCCTTCGAAAGGGGTATGGTTGTGATCAGGAAGACGATACGGACACAACCATGGCTTTAGATTTTATTTCTATGGCCTGTAGAGGATTTTGGAAATACACAGACCTGTAGCAATGGACACTGTCCGTGGGTATAGGTCTTTGAATTTTTAGCCACGACGCAGGGAAGAAGAAGCAGGCGTGTCACTCCCCCATAGGCTTATTCAAATCTGGCGCATTTTTTGTTACAATTATCCACTAACTTTTTTTCTTATATTATATTTGATTCTTGGCATATGTACAAAAGCAACCAACAACCCAGCTGGTTACAAGCCATTGGAAATTGCCTTCAGGACCTGGGTTCGAATCCTAGGTCCCCCTATTTCTCTATTTCATTTTATTACAGGAAATCCAGTGCACGCATGAGCTAGGGATCCATCATACTCCCTCACTATCCAACGCGCCAGATGGCCAAATGGCCAGATCTGGTGGCCACCATTGCAAGCACACCATAGGCCAAGTCAAACATGCCACACTAGATGGCAAAACTCAGCGTGGACCTTCTCCAATTGGGCCCAGATTCCTGCTTTCTACACCCCATTCAGGCCCATCTCTCCTTTTTTTTTATATTTTGTTTATTTCATTTAATTATTTATTTATTTATTTACTTAACCAAAAACAATTTTCTTTTTACCAAAAAATCACAAAAGCATTTTTCTATCCAATTAAAATTTAGAATTTTATTTTTCATCAATAAATATTAATTAAAATAATTAGGTTATTTATATTAGATAACTTTAATTGATTTTGTAAATATTTAAAATTAATTAGAATCAATATGTTTTAACCCTAATTTAATTATTTTTTTTCTTTCCTAAAATAATAAAAAACCAACAATATGTCATTTAATTATTTTTCATTAATTAATTTAATAACTAATTAATTTAGCATTTAATTTTAGGACTTAATTTCTTTTCTTAAAAAATATTAAAAACAACCAAAATATTTTCTTTTAATTAAGAGGGTAAAAACCCTAGTTTCGCATTCGATTCAAGTTTCTCGCGCGCTTTATTTTTTCAAATATTGTATCTGTTCCCAGTTTGTAATAATTAAATTAGGACATTTATTTATTTATTACCGCTTTTAAATTTCAAAGGGTTTGTTTTTGGCGATGTAAATACCCGACGCCTTGTAATAATTTAGTTTAATTTCCGCACTTTAATTTCCGCAATTATTCAACTGTTAGATGTTTGATAATAGGGTTTGCATGACAAGAATGAATGACTAAGTTTAAAAATAGTTAGATCACCCTAAACATGTGCAAAGATAAAAATAACTGAAATCAACACACTCGCACATGTGCACTCCTAGGGTACATCCCACTTGGTTGCCTTCGTAAACGGTCATTAAGTATAGGTTGTTTTAGAGGTCGCCCTCTTGTCTAAAAGATCATAAGTGCCTCAGAAAGGTTGCCTCGGAATTGTTGCCTCGAATAAATGATCTAAGACGTTAGGGTTACCACTAAGACGTCCTAACATTGCTTTAGTGACCGTATGTCCCTCTTTCGAATTGACCCTCAAACTCCAACGACGGTGCTACCTAATCACTAATAGTGGGATAGCATTGTCTAAAGGAAACAAGCATAGAACAATTCCTTTTTCGAGTAGGTAGATTAGTTCTTAGATACTTGCTCATCCAAAACAAAACTTGTTCACACTTACACTCCTTTACAAACAAGTTTTCAAAAACACTTCATTACACTCTTGAAGACAGAAGCAAGAGTTAAATCAAAGTTAAAACAAAAAACTTTTCAAATCCCACAAACACAAAGAAAACAATTTTGAAAATGATGAGCAAGTACCTAAGAGCCCGTAGATAACTACGGATAGAAAGGGTGCTAATACCTTCCCTTTCTATAATCTACCCCCCGTACTCAGAAATATCTCGAAAAAGGAATTTTTCCGTGCTTTTTTCCTTTCCTTGTTGGATAAAATAAAAGACGACAGCGACTCTTGCTTACTGCGACATTTGCAAACAAAAAACGCAAACCAGCATTCCAAAAACAGTTAATTCTTCCCACCGTATCACACCTAGCAATCGATTCTTATTCCAAGCTCTACAAATGATTCTCTCTCTCTCTCTCTCTCTCTCTCTCTCTCTCTCTCTCTCTTTCAGGGCTCTAGTTCTCCACAACGTTCTTCTCTTTTCACGATTGCACATAATGAACACTGACACTCTTTTTTCTAGTTTAACCCTTAGACTCTTTCTATGGTTTTCCCATCATACCCTCACTTACTTCACAATATTACTACCTTGTCCTCATAGTCTCTACCTCTTATTATTTTATTTATTTAATTATTCTAAATAATCAAAATTAATTATCTAAAATTACTAAAATACCCAGTATCACTTCACATACATCAAAATATCATATATACTCATAAATACATCACAAATACTCATAATATTCATAATTAAATAATTAAATAAATAATTTAATTATTTTGGGGTGTTACAAGCGACGTCGGGCGAGCCTCCGGGCGAGAAAGATTGGGAAAAATGCATGCTCTTGGAAAATAAGCGAAGCACCTCTGCTTCGCTGGACGAGGACCCATCGTCTCTACATCATCAGGCAAGCCTCAAGCGAGCGGATTGCTTCGTCGGACGAGTCTCAGACGAGCAACCATTTTTTAACATATTTTGTTTTAGGGTAATGTTAACATGTGTCCTTAGGGTACATGTGAAGTACTAAATAAAGAAATCTCTATCTTGGAAATCGTGTATTGAATTTATTATAATTATATAATAAATTTTTTGATTATTTTTTCAAAGACAAACTTTCTAATTATAGGTTCCTTAACATGTTCCCTTAGGCCACATGTTAGAATTACCCTTTGTTTTATGCTGTTTTGTGTGAGATAACATGAATAATGTGACTCAATATGCTATGAATTAGTATGAGGTATGTTTACATGACAAATTGATGTTGCTATGATGATGCTATGTTGTGTTTGGGAGTAATCGATGTTGTTGTAGTGAATGAAGTTGAATGATGTACATGTTGATGTGTATATATATGTGAATAATATGACTAATAATTACATGAATAATTATGCAATTTGACTAGCAATGGTCGTATTATATTATATTGTTGTGCATCATACATTCATGGCATATGTTTGGACGTTGGTCGACCCATATTGTTTAGGACGTTGGTCTAATGGTGGCCTCAATCTCATTGTGTGGATTGAGTGTGTTATTATGTTGTGCTCTGGTTCCAAGAGGGAATCGATCTTATGGTGGGGATCTTTGGAGGATGATCGCCCAGTGCCCGTCAAAAGATTTTGGTACCACTTATATGTTCCAGATTATTGCATTACATCCTATGTGACATTACATGAATGTTGATTTAAATAATGTTTTGATGATGTTGTGGCTTGATGGATACTTGTGTTGACGTTGTGAATTAAAAGACGTTTTGGTGGTGATTTATGACTTAATGATGAAATGATATGGTGATTGATATTATGAACTGAAAGTGTGAGTATAATATGTAATATGTGATGATTTATGTATTCGTAGTGATGTTATTGCAACTGCTATATCTATTCCTTTTATATTTTGTAATGATCTATGATTACTCGCCCTTTCTGTTTGAATGTTGCCTCTACGTGGTTAACACGCATGTGATCAGGCGTAGTTCGTAGAAGTTTAGAAGATAACTTCGGAGTGTGTTGTTTATTTTTGTTAAATAAGAAGGATCTTGTTCTGATATTTTACATCGAGGATTAAGATCCTTTGATGATGTTCCTTTAAAAGGACTTTTAATGAAACTATGTTGAGACTATTATTCCGTTGTGTAGTAAATGATTTTATGTGTTGATATTCCAAAAAGAAAATTAATTTAAAATAGTTAAAAACTCGTGTTACGGGGTAAGATGTTTGTTATGATGTTTTCTATGATGTTTTCTATGTTGTTGGTGATTTGAGTTTAAATTACTTATTAAATAATTCGTGATTTATCCGTTGGGTTCGAAGGGTGTTTACATGGAACATCCCACGCATAAGTTTGACCCTTTCGGGTCAACTGAGTTAAAGGTAATGTCAACTTCAAAAAGCCTTAGATAAACCTGCGATAGTGACCTGCTAAACCAAGAAAATTTTGTATCTCAATAGCAGACTTCAGAGTTTTCCATTGCAACACAATATCAACTTTAGAAGGATCTACATAAATTTCACCACTCGAAATCACATAGCCAAGAAAACTCATTTCCTTCAACCATAATTCAGATTTTGACAACTTGACATAAAGCTTCTTCACCCTCAACACCTACAACACAATCTTAAGATGTTCTACATGCTCTTCATAAGACTTGGGATATATCAAAATATCGTCGATGAAAACCACCATAAACTTATTCATATACAGATGAAAAATCAAATCCATATATTTCTATGAACATGCTTTATGCATTAAATACACCAAACGACATCACACTATATTCATAGTAGTCATATCTCGTATTGAGTGCCCTCTTCTAATTTAACTTAATTCAGAATGTTCACACCACAGTATCAGTGTGCTCGGTGGCTTGAGTAGTGCCACGCAGTTTCTCATCCAACTGTAACAACCCCTAAAACACTTTCATCAAACAACCGTCTTAACCTCCATCATAATGAACCTCTCTTCCACCTTCACACTTTACCCAAAACTACACTTTTCATTCTCATCCTCAATCTCTCCCAATCCAATTCAATTCACCACCATAACCCCAAACCCAACAAACCCCCCAAAAGCCCTTCACATTACCGCAATAACCATAAACAACTCACCCCAACAGCTTCCTCCAAACAGTCCTCAACGCCTCCTCAAGGAACTCGAACAATACAAAACCAAAAAACTAATCCCACCAAACAAAAAAACACCTTCAAGAATCTCAATCCTAAAACCACCGCTACAAAACAAAAAACTCATCCTCAACAGTCCCCAACTAACCCTGAACTCACTCCCTGTTCTGAGTTCATGTCTCCCCCACGCGCCTCTCAGAACCACCGACACCGCGTGGATGGACCTTCACTTGATGGAAGTGAAGCAAGCGTTGGGGTATCCTTTGGAGTCTTTTGAGGATATGCTTGGGGAAGAAGATAACCCTGGGAAACAATTTGATACGCTGTTGTATTTAGCGTTTCAGCATCGCGCGTCCGGGAAGGTGAGGCACGTGAGGTGTGCGCAGTCGAGGTTGTTCTTTTTGGGGCAGTATGTGCTTGAGCTTGCTTTTGTGGAGTTTTTTATGCAGAGGTATCCGAGGGAGGGCCCGGGGCCGATGAGGGAGAGGATTTTTGGGTTGGTTGGAAAGCATAGATTGCCTAAGTGGGTTAAAGCTGCTAGCTTGCATAATTTGATATTTCCTGATGTTGATATGGATAGATTGGTGAGAAAAGAAAGGGAGCAAAGAGTCAAGTGAGTAAGCTTAGTATTTGTTTAATTTGTTCTTTGTTACTGCAATGTGCTTCCTATAATTAGTAGGATAGTAGTGATTGTGAAGTTTTGTTTACTATATCATGTGTATCATGTGTGTTGTTTGCAAAGTTTTAAATTATGGGTCATGGGTTAAGTTTTATTGGACTGCAATAAGATATGCGATGTTGTACGAGATAGATTGTTGGGCGATTAAGAATCAACATGAGAATAAAGTAACTGTAGCAGAGATGAGGATGTGCGATAAGACTAGACAAGATAAAATTAGAAATGAGGGTGTTGGTGTAGCACCTATGGCAGAAAAGATGGTGGAAAATAAACTAAGGTGGTTTGGACATGTAGAGAGAAGACTTGTAGATTTTATGGTAAGAAGAGAAGACCAGATAGAGAGAAGTTATTAAGAAAAACCTCGAGATTAACGATTTAGATATAAGCATGGTCTTAGATAGAATATTATGGTGAAAGTTGATTCTTGTAGCAGACCCTGCTTAGTGGGATAAGACTTGGTTCTTGTTGTTGTTGTTGTTGGTAGAGATTGCAGTCGGGTTGTGATCTTTGATATTGCAGAAAATTGTAGTCAAATGTGGCTGACACGGTCTCAATGTTGGTTGAGCAGTGGTCCCGGCGAATATCTAAAACCATGGTTTTGTGGCTTATTCTGGTTGTGTTTGAATTGTTAAACTATGTTTATTGTTATGTTACTTTTTTTATGGAGGTTTTTACTATAACATGTTATGTTTGGTATTCTTTGATTCATATAGCCAATTATTGCTTTGTGTTTTTAAATTATTGTGGTTGTTGTCTCTGCTTATCTGGAAGAAAGCTCTTGATGTTTTGAATTGTAGTAGAATGTCATTATTTGGTATTTCCAAATGATTTGCATCCAAGGAAAACAAACTAACTAAAGGAATAGAAAGTATGAATATGTCCACACATTTTACGGGGGAGTCTTCTGTTGTGTATTTACTCTTTTTTTTATAGTTTGGGGAGGACTTTGACACTGGGCCATCTTGGTTGGAGTCACCTAACTAGACCAACCGGATTGATTGATCAGATTAATACTTTACGTTTTTATTTGCTTGTAAGTTTCTGATTGTTCTTCCCTGGTATTCTTTTGAGCAATGGAGATTTTGGATTTGAAAATTATGTTGATTCTTCTTCAAACATAATAAGCTTGACTAACTTTGAAACTTGGACACAGGTCCTTGTACATTGGTGCCTGCTCTCCGGCTCTAATTGTGTTTTTGCACGTGTCTTATCCTCCATAACATGTACTGTGAATTTGTGATATAAAAAACGCGAGTACTTTTGTTCTGAGATCAAGGATCTCTGCATCTGGTGCCATATTGCTTGCAAGGCCAAGTTGTTATGATTCATGAATCTTGAATAATTAAATATGAGTGTGAGGGGGAGATCTAGGGGGAAAAATTGATGACTGCACTCCGAGTATGATATACTTATTGTTGCTTTATTTGATGTATTGTTGGCCTATCTTAATCAACGGAATTTGTCTTAAATCTTATTGTAGTTTTCACGTAACCTGTTTTTGAAAATGTAGTTTTCACATACCTTCATTTTTTGTAATAATAATATGTGCATTTGGCAGGTCTGTCTTTTGGGCTTTGTTTGGGGCAATCTATCTATGTTTTGGTATGCCTGAAGTGTATCGTGTTCTTTTTGAAGTCTTTGGAATGGATCCAGATGCGGAGGAATGCCAGCCCAGATTACGTAGGCAACTTGAAGACATAGATCATGTATCTGCTGAATTTGAAGGCAAGCTAAGCTGGCAAGATATGGTTGCCTATAAGGCAAGTCCTACGCATATGCCATACTATTATTTGTTTTTTTCCAATAAAAAAGTTAGTTGTATAATAAAGAACTCAATATTATGTGCACGCTATGCTTTTCAAACATAATCTAGCTTCATTATAAATTCCAATTTGTTTATCTTTCTAACTTGCCAAATATGCATGCAAAATTAATTTCATTCAACAAAATTTGTATATGATCTCTTTATTGAAGTAGTGTACTTACTGTTATCCATTCAGCCTCCTGCAGATGCCTTGTTTGCGCATCCGCGGCTGTTCAGAGCCTGTATTCCCCCAGGAATGCATCGGTTTAGAGGAAATGTATGGGATTATGATAGCAGGCCTCAGGTTATGCAAATCCTTGGATATCCAATAGAAATCACCGATAGAATTCCAGAAATTACTAAAGCTAGGAATGTAGAGCTTGGACTTGGTTTGCAGGTAGCAATTTTGCCTCTCATTCTCTTTACCTTTTGCCCTGTCTGGATATTGCATACTTGAATTTCCATGCAATCTTTGTTATAATGGAAGTAGACTTCGATTAACTGTTTAGAGAAAGAGGCAAACTTTTCTTTTTGTTGTTTTAATAAAATACACTCTTGGTCTTTATATAGACCCAATGACTTTTACAATTCAAGAAAAGATAACTGCTACTAATAAAAAACTATCATAACCTACTGACTTTTTGACCTTCCAAATTACTTTTGGTTCTTAATCTTCCTACTACCTTATTTAATAAGAAAACTCATTACTAATGACATTCAAGTTTACTCAACAATCTTCAATAGAAGATGGGAAGTCAAGTCAGTAGATCTCCTTGAAGGTTGCTCTAGGTTCTGTTCTGAATTGTTATATTAATCAATTTCTTCTTAAATTGCAGCTATGTTTCTTGCATCCATCAAATTACAAATATGATCATCCTCGATTTTGCTTCGAGAGATTAGAATACCTTGGTCAAAAGATACAGGTAGACTCTATGTTGTCTATTCTACTATTTGATTGCATTTGTGGAATGAATGACACTCTTGTTTCATCTAAAGAAGTATAACATATACTAATATAAATTTATTTATTTGCTTTGGGTGTTTGGTTAAGGATTTGGTGATGGCTGAAAGATTGTTGATGAAGCATTTAGATGCTCCGGGTTTTTGGCTACAAGAGAAGCACCGCCGCGTTCTTATGAACAGGTATTGTGGGAGATATTTGAGGGCAAAAAAACTCCATCGATTTATTATATACCCTGAAAAGGATCGAAATTCGTATGAGCGCAATCATAGACTGAGAAACCCGGCCTCAGAATCTGTTCAACAAGCCATTCACGGGCTTTCATATGCAGTTTATGGGAAACGTGATGTGAGACGACTAATGTTTGAGGTTTTTGATGTTGAGCAAGTTCAGCCTAAAAGGAATATATATGTGAAGAAATAATAGTGACAAAGATTTTTCATGAACTTTCCTTGTTGCCATATTCATGAACTTAGTTGTCAGAATAGGTGAAGTTTAGAATGTAAAGTACCTTGTGCTTGTCTAGTTATTTATAACAAAAATTAAGTGAAAATTATTTGACTCTCTACGTTGATCATCCGATTACTCTCTCAGAACATGTTTGATTCAGCTGTAGCAAGAATTGTTTCTAACTGGAATTGAATTTAACCAAATAGATTTTGGTTGAAAGTAAGTTAAATGTGAAGTGATGTATGATTGTACATTGATGGAAAAGTGATTCTCAATGTTTTAATGTGTATTTTTATTAAATATAAAACTAAGTTACGATCATTTAATATAAGAGTTATTATCATTTTACTTTCCTTGTAAATTTTCTTTTTGTAAAACTTTTGTCGTTTTAAATCTTGTAAAATTTTTGTTTTTGAAATTAATCTTGTCACTTGAAGAATTATGTCATTTTAAACTTTGTAAATTGTTTTTTTTGGTGAAACCAAACTGTCCAATCATGCTTTGTAAATTGTTTTTTTGGTAAAACCAAACTGTCCAATCATGTTTTAGAGGGTTTAAAATGACATAATCTTAAAGTTTATAGGTTTTAAAATGACAGAATTTTCAAGTGACAATTAATTTTAAAAACAAATTTTTACAAAATTTAAAATGATAAACCAAAAATGACGGCGTAAAATGGTATATCTCGAAATATAATGATACTTTTTTTATTTATTTTATATTTTGGCTTAAAAATATAATCATACCCTTAAAAAAATTGCCATAATAATTGAATATAAGGAATTTAAATAAAAATTACAAAATAATTAAAATAATATAAAGTGTAATATAAAGTTGAAATATTGCCATAAAAGTAACTATTTAACTTGTATTCTATAATCTGATTATGAATTGAGTTTTGAATTTCATTCATTTTTGACAAAGAAGCATCATTAAAAATCACAGCTAGTCTCTATGATTATTATGAGAATTACTTATTCCATTCTTAGGGTGGAAAAGTATTCTAAAGAAATATGAAAAATATCCATCAGATTTTAGAAATGTATTTTTGGACGCATCTTTTCTATATCAGAACACGTTTTAAAGTGAGACTCACTCAATATATATTTTTCAAAAATTAATTTGGAGATGCATTTTCGGATCCACTACATATACCATTCATGTATTCCTCACTAAAACATCATTTTTACATTAATTGATTTGGAGATACATCTTCGTATTCATATCAGACAAAATTCAACGATGTGCTTTTGTATTCACACTAGAAAATAATTTTTGACTGTGTTTAGAGAAACACTAATCTAATTTGAGCATACATTTTAGCTATACTTTCATATTCAATTTTATATAAATTAAATTTTAGACTAATCAAATAATATAAAAATGGCATATAAAAGAATTAATCTGGAATACATAATGAAGTCAAAGTAAAGTGCAAACGATAATAGTGTTCCTAATAAAATACTATATGCTATGCGTAGCCGGACTCAATTCTCCTTGTTCCTACGTTGCCACTTATACTGTAGTGATGCCCCCTCTTCCATGATAGCATCTAGAATGTCCTTTGCCTTAGATCCATCAAGAAAGACTCGTTTGTCTATACGCACCTGCCCAAACTCCATGATACACCGACATCTAGGCAACACATCAACAACATGAGCAGTCTTATCCTACTTCACAAGACAACAATCCAAAGTATAAGGCTATGTCTTCCAAGGGACGTGTTTCATGGTGATCTACATATGCCTGAAAGTGAATATCCTCTGGTATCAAGCAGTCAAGATACACTTTGAATGCTCTATTTCCTAATTCCCTTTGAGTAGGCGAATGCATAAGTATGTGGCATATTCTCAATGTAAGTCGAAACACATGACCAGTCAAATATGCGTGAGAAGTACTGAAGGATCTAAACATGAAAATGGTATATATGAATCATTAGTGATGGCATAGTACAAGTGGTATGAAAATGAAACTCAAACACAAAAAGATGCAAATATATTACCGTCAACCGTGTACAACTGTCTGTCATATGTTTGGTCTTCCACATACAACATTCAGCTAATTTGGAGTACATGTATATCAAACAAGTAGCCCCCTAGTTATACTCATGGATCAATTCCAAGTCAACAAAGAATCTCAAGTAAATAACATATAAACAAGTGACACTCTTATCCATAAAATGAACGTGCCAACTAAATACAACACATATTCTCTCATTGTGTATGCTTTATGCTGCATGACCTGTTCATTATCACCAATGGCCTACTCTGCTGCATAAAGTTGTTGTGCATACAACCTCTCTAGGAATTGAAACCTAACATAACACCCTCAGGTGGACTCTAACTTCTAAATGACATCCCCTTTTGATTAAAACAGTGTCTAGAAATGCATCTCTGTAAGGTATACAGAGATGCATCTCCGTAATTTTTTTACATGACCCTAAGACCTAGCTGAAAAATAAATGTGAATAAGATGTGTTCGGAGATGCATTTTAGGTTTCTATGGATAGTATATTTTCACTAAGATGGGAAAGCAATGCTTAACATGCATTAAGAAATCCCTTTATTATAATGGTGAATGACTATTTTTGTCTTCATAAACATTGAAATTTATGGTGACATTTATCCTAGGCCAATCAATTTTTCTCCATCATGGTGAAGTTGTTTTTTCATTATTAATTTAATAATAATTATTGTTAGGTCTGTGATTTTATGATTGACAACAATTTTGATAAATCATGAAATTCTGGAACTTGTAATACAGATGTCAAGATTGATGTCCTAACACCAATACAATGTCAAGACAAATGTTATGACATCATCTACTGACGGAAAAACACTTGCTAAAGCTGAAGATTATGCAGAAAATTAAACAACACAATCAATTGTTAACCCAGTTTGGTACAACGTCATCTACTATGGAGGCTACCAAGCCAGGAAGGAAATTCACTATGATAATATTAGTTTAAAGCCTAGATAACCCTAGTTTACAACTTCTCGCCTAATCACTATCTTGTGCAACTTCTACCTAGGCACCTTCTAGATATGAGATCCCCCTCTCACTTCCAATCACCTCAGTGATACCTACAGTCACACACATCTGACTAGAATCAAAACAAGCAAATAGAATATTACACTTCAAATAAGCAATACTTAGTTTTTCTTAAAAGCTTAACTAAGAACAATACTCAACTCTTTGCTTAAAAGCTCAAGAGTGAGAATAATCAGTCAACCTCAATGTATCAAAAGATACATGAGTGACATACAAAGAAAACACAAAGACCTTAAAAGACTCCCAAAACCCTAAGCCCTTATATTTCATTCATTGTTTCTTTAATGTGAATGCTTATTATTTTAGGTTTAGCAAGTCCTTATTTATCGAATCTTGCAGAATGAGTTTGGACTCTTCAATCAAATCCAATCTTCTGTTTTAAATTAGCTGCAAGATCTTCACACAAAAATAGGAACAAATCTTCAAAATTTCCTAAAAAGTCTCCAAGATCCTTTTATGAAATCAAATTAAATATGCACTTGTTTCCAATAAAATCTCCTTGACCTGCGCAAAATAATGAAATATATCCAAAAGAATCTCATAAAATCAAATCAAATATGTCAAGAAATATAACAAAAACACCTGTTGTAAAACAGGCCAAGATGTCAAGACATCTGGCTCAACATTTGTCTGGTATACATGACAGCAGAACCTGTCATGACAGTTGGTCAAGATGTTGTGATATCTTGCTCAACATCATTTTAGAACCATGTTTTAGCAAAATTTATCACAACCATAAAACCATGTATCTAACAAAACATGTTTCATTTGGGAAACATGTATCACATCTAAATGTTGGACAATATATTGTGACATGTTGAACAAACTGTTCAACAGGTGCTGCTGTTATTTTCTTTACAGATGTTGTGACATGTTATACCAGAACTTTAGTGTAGTTCTGCATTTTAAATCCTTGAAGATTAGATTCTAAAATATGATATTCTGGATGGTTTTAGTTCTCATATGGTCGCAGCTAAGCAAGGATTTTATTAGGAATTTTGCAGATTTGATTTGGTTTCATACAAGGATCTTGGAGATTTTTTAGGAAACTTTGAAGATTTGTTCCAATTTTTGTGAAAAAGATTTTACAGATGATTTACAACTGGAAGATTGGATTTAATTGAAGAGTCCAAGCCCATACTGCAAGAGTTTATATATAAGGACTTATTAAACCTAAAATAACAAGAGATTTCATCAAGAAACCGCGTGTCTATGAGATAAGGGTTTAGGGTTTTGAGAGTACTTTTAGTGTGCTTTATTTGTTTTTGTATGTTACCCGTGTATCTTCGGATACATTGAGGTAGACTGATTATTCGTTGTTACTTGAAAATCACTCATGAGCTTTAAGCAAATAGTAAATTGTGTGTCAAGTTATTTTTCTCAGTCAAAAGATTTTAAGCAAAACTGAGTATTGTAATTGGAAATGTGTTCTTCTATTTTTGTTATTGTTATTGAGGTGACTGTGGGAAGTGAGAGGGGGATCTCATATCTAGAATTTTTCTAGGTAGAAGTAACACAAGGTAGTGATTAAGAGATAAGATGTAAACTAGGGTTGTTTAGATTTGAACTAATATTATCATAGTGAATTTCCTTCCTAGCTTGAATTCCCCCTAAGTATATGAGTTGCATCGAACTGGGCTAACACTTGATTGTGTTTTTTACCTTCTCCAATTTACTTCTGCATAATTTATTGTTTTGGTAAAAGTCTTTTGTCAGCAGATGATGTCTTAACATCTGTCCTGACATTGTATTTTGGTGTTGGGATATCAGTCTTGACATATATTTTTAAGTGTCAGAATTTCAATTGGCATCAGAGTAGGCACCATGTTCTATTTTCAGGTGAGCTCTATGGAGAATAGTTTTTGGTACTATGGATAAAGAAAGAGGATACAACAACAACCCACATTTGTTAGATGGTGCAA